CACACATCCCTGCTCTCCCTCCCAGCATCGTGGAGGCCTCCAAGGGCGGTCGGCTGGAGAAGATCGAGCAGGGCTATGAGAGCATGGACGCCTTCTCCGTCAGCCTGGAGCACCTCGCCGAGGCCGTGCGCGCCCTGGACTTCGAGGCCGGTAATGCAGCCCCCAGTGCCCCTTTGCCACCCAGCCCATGGCACCCCCCGCTTTTCCTGCTGGCTCCTGCTGACCTTTGGCTGCCCTCCTGCAGCAGAGGAAGATGAGGAATACTTTGATGGGGAGGAAGAAGAGGTGGAAGAGAACGCGGCGCCCGAGAGGACAGTGATGGGTAAGGGGCAGAGCACGGCTGAGCCCACCTCCCCAGGACCCTCCAGCACCCATGGGGGAGCTTTGGGGGTTTGGGCTCTCCTTGATCACCCCATCCTCTCCCTCGGCAGCTTCCCTGTAGCCACAACAACGTTGCCGGCGCGGGAGAGACGCCCCCGGGCGCAGGATGTCCGGCACGGATTTGGGACAGGGGGACACAGGACAGGGACCGGCAGCGTGGCGAGCCGGCGCCTGCTCCAGCACAGGACACTTTTCTATACGGGTGCAAATAGGACAATTCCGCACGTTTTATAATTCCCTTCTTTTGTATATAATTGTCACGCATTTGAAACTTGTGTATTTTGTAAAGAAAGCCGCTGCTTTGGGTGGTTATTTTCTTTTTCCTCGCCTCTCGCTCTCGGCTCGCCAGCCCCGCGGTGGGCACCGGGGATGGGTTTGCCGGGCTGGTGCCATCAGCGGTGTCCCTGCCAGCGGGACACCTCCGGTCTAGTTCTTAATTTCCAGCCTCATTAGCACCTCAGGCAGCCGCTCCTGGCCGCCCGCCCGGGATGTAACAGGTCGGCACCCGGCAGGATTTATCTCCTGGGGATGGGGTGCCCTGTGCAGAGCTTGCCCTGGGCTGGAGATGTGGCACGGGGGGGCTGAGGATGCTCCGGGCTGGGCCAGCCCCCGAAATGGGGATGGTCTCAGCGTCGAGCTGCCGGTTTGCTGCTGACTGAGCTCAAAAATGCACCTTGGATGAAAAAAAAACACACCATAAATGCAAAAGTATGAGTCCTGCTCAGAGGGGCCAAGGGGAAACTGAGGCAGCATCCAGAGCCGAGCCCCAAGTGCAATTAGCCGCAGGGTAATTAACGCTGCTCACCCAGGGCGGGGCTGTGGAGGGGGGTCCAGGCTTATCCATCACACGGCTGGATGGAACCCGGGGGTGTTCCAAAGCGGGGAGTGGGGTCACCACGCGCCTTTGGAGGGGACACGGGGACCTTCCACCCCCTTCTCCACCCAGCCGGGCTGTGCAGCTCCCGGGGGGCGCTCGGGGCGGGGGTCCCAGAGCAATCCCCCCCCAGCAGCAGCAGCCCCGGGAGGCGGGGAGGGGGCCCAGGCCGGGGCCGGCTCCTCGGGCGCTTTGCAGCCGGCTCGGCCGTCCCTCCTCCCGCCGGGATTTGCACACGAATCCGGCTCTTCACACGAGCCGAGGCCACCGGCTGCCCCGGGGGCACCGGAGGATGGCAGCGGGCGACGAGAAGCGGCACCTCCTGAGCGAGGGCACCGGCGGGTACGGGGGTGCCAGGAGGGCTGGGGGTGTCGTGGACCCTCTGCTGTGCGGTTCCCGAGTGGGGTCGGGCCGTGGGGGGAGCGCTGGGGGTCCAGCCCGCTCGGGGAAGTGCCCCAGCTCCCCTTTGGGCGGCAGGAGCCACGCGGGGGCTGCGCGCAAGGATGGGCACGGCGGGATGGAGCCCGGCCTGGAGCTGGGCACGCGGCGTGGGCAGCACTGCCACGCGCGGGGGGTCGGTGCCCACCCCGGCCAGCAGCGGCGGGCACGCAGGAAGCTCTACCTGGCCGCTGGCATCTGCCTCTTCTTCATGGTGGGCGAAGCCGTGGGTGAGTGCTGGGTGCCCGCTGCGCTGGGGTCCCCGTGGGGTCACCCCGAGTGGGTGCCCGGAGCCCCTCTTGTCCTGATTCCCTGCCGGGGGTGCGGCCAGAGCTCCCCGTTGGGTTTCTGTGGGTCAGAACACCCCCTGTGGCATGGGGGGTGCTGATCTGTGCCCGGCTCTGTGCCCCCCCGATGTCCCCCCGATGTCCCGTGTCCGCAGGCGGGTACCTGGCACACAGCCTGGCCATCCTGACGGACGCTGCCCACCTGCTGACGGACTTTGCCAGCATCATGATCAGCCTCTTTGCACTCTGGGTGTCCTCACGGCCCCCCACCAAAACCATGAACTTCGGATGGCACCGGGCAGGTACCGCGGTGGCACCGCCCCGGGGATGCCAGCGGGGCAGCACCCTCCCCGTGTGGCCCAGGGGCTTTGGGGTGCCCCGAGGGCCCTGGGGAGCCCTGGCACAGTCCTGGCACCACGAACAAGGCAAGGCAGAGGCGCTGCCAGCCCAATGCAAGGAGCACCCCAGGGTGGGTGCTGGGTGCCCGCACCGTGCCTGGCACTGCTGAGACAGTGCTCAGGATGGCACAGCAGTGGGGCAGTGATGTGGGGGTTCTCTCCACAGAGATCCTGGGGGCCCTGCTCTCCGTGCTCTCCATCTGGGTGGTGACGGGGGTCCTGGTCTACCTGGGGGCCCAGCGGCTGCTCTCGGGGGACTACGACATCGAGGGCGGGGTGATGCTCATCACCTCGGCCTGCGCCGTGGCCGTCAACATCGTGTACGTGGGGGTCTGGGACCCCGGGGGATCCCCTCCCTGAGCCCCCCGGGTGCCAGCAGTGCCCTGCCCGCAGGATGGGGGTGGCTCTGCACCAGACGGGGCACGGGCACAGCCACGGGGCGGGTGGCGAGCAGCCCAGTGCCAGCGTCCGCGCCGCCTTCGTGCACGTCGTGGGGGACCTGCTGCAGAGCCTCGGTGTCCTCATCGCCTCCTACATCATCTTCTTCAAGGTCTGGGGGTGCTGGGGGCTGAGGGGTGCTGGGGACAGAGGCTCCAGAGAGGGCTGTGTGCCCACCCTGCTGGCCCCGAGGGGGGTTTGGGGTGAGCTGGTGGTGCCCCAGGGCCTCACCCCCTCCCACCCTCCCACCCCTCCCAGCCCGAGTACAAGTTCGTGGATCCCATCTGCACCTTCCTCTTCTCGGCGCTGGTGCTGGGGACGACACTGACCATCCTCCGGGACGTCCTCCTCGTCCTCATGGAGGGTAGGGACCCCCGGGGGGCAGCGGGCTCACCCAGGGGTGCCCTGGGCCCCGTCCCCGCGGCTGCCACGGCTCTGCCTCCGCAGGGACCCCCCGAGGGATGGATTTCAACGCCGTGAGGGAGACGCTGCTGGCGGTGCGGGGCGTGGAGGCCGTGCACAGCCTGCACATCTGGGCTCTGACAGCGGCCCAGCCACTGCTCTCGGTGCACATCGCCATCAGTGAGTGTCACCGTGTGGGGACAGGGCCACAGCGGGTGTCACAGTGTGGGGACAGGGGTGCCAGAGCCATCAGTGGGTGTCACAGTGTGGGCACAGGGCTGCCAGAGCCATCAGTGGGTGTCACTGTGGGGGGACAGAGCCACCAGTGAGTGTCACAGTGTGGGCACAGGGGTGCCAGAGCCACCAGTGAGTGTCACTGCGGGGGGACAGAGCCACCAGTGGGTGTCACAGTGTGGGCACAGGGCTGCCAGAGCCATCAGTGGGTGTCACTGTGGGGGGACAGAGCCATCAGTGGGTGTCACTGTGGGGGACAGAGCCACCAGTGGGTGCCACAGTGTGGGCACAGGGGTGCCAGAGCCATCAGTGGGTGTCACAGCAGGGAGACAGGGCTGCCAGAGCCACCAGTGGGTGTCACAGTGTGGGGAAAGAGCCACCAATGAGTGTCACAGTGTGGGCACAGGGCTGCCAGAGCCACCAGTGGGTGTCACAGTGTGGGGAAAGAGCCACCAATGAGTGTCACAGTGTGGGCACAGGGCTGCCAGAGCCACCAGTGAGTGTCACAGTGTGGGGACAGAGCCACAGCGGGTGTCACAGTGTGGGCTCAGGGCTGCCAGAGCCATCAGTGAGTGTCACTGTTGGGGACAGAGCCACAGCGGGTGTCACAGTGTGGGGACAGAGCCACCAGTGGGTGTCACAGTGTGGGACAGGGCTGCCAGAGCCACCAGTGAGTGTCACAATATTGGGACAGGGGTGCCAGAGCCACCAGTGAGGGTCACTGCGGGGGGACAGAGCCACAGCGGGTGTCACAGTGTGGGGACAGGGGTGCCAGAGCCACCAGTGAGTGTCACTGCGGGGGGACAGAGCCACCAGTGAGTGTCACCGTGTGGGGACAGGGCCACAGCGGGTGTCACAGTGTGGGGACAGGGCTGCCAGAGCCACCAGCGGGTCCCCCAGTGTGGGCAGGGAGGGTCGGGTTTGCCCACACCCCAACACCCCCCGGGTTTCTCCCGGCAGACGCAGCTGCCAGCGCACAGGAGGTGCTGGACGAGGCCAGCTCCCGGCTGCAGAGCACCTTCCGCTTCCACAGCACCACCATCCAGGTGGAGAGCTACTCCGAGGAGATGCGGCACTGCCGGGAGTGCCAACCCCCCCGCGACTGAGCCCCGCGCCCCGGGGCGCTGTTCACGCGTGGCAAATAAAGCCGAGCACACGGGGTGCGAGGGGGATGTTGAGTCTGGGCGTTATCTCCGCTGTCTGCAGGAGCCAAGGACAGAGCCGGGGCTGTGGCTGTTGGAGGTCACCCGATATTCCGTATTTCTATTCAGCTGGGAGGAGAAACAGCTGAAACCTCCTTTTCCCTTCTCCGGGAGCGCTGCGGGGCAAGGCGTGCCGGGCTGCCCGGGGACTGCGGGGGACCAGCTGGAGCCAGCGAGGGCGGTCCCACAGCTCTTATCGCTCCTCGGGGAGGTGAAGGACTCTCCCTCCCCGCAGCACCGGGGGGGCTGCCCGGGTTATTCCCGGGGTGCCAATGGCAGAAGTGTTGGAGCACCCAAAAAGTGCCGCTCGCAGAGCGCTCCCCACACCCCACAGCCATCATCCGGATCCCGCCTCTCCCCCTCCTTTATTGCACTGCTAAAAGCCAAGAACGAGTAAAACCCCGTCAGCAGCGAGCCCGTCCCCGGGAGGGCTCCGCGCACCGGGAGCGGCGCACCGGGAACCGGCCCCGAGCCCCGCGGCCCTCACGGCCTCTCCAGGCTCGGGTATCTCTTGCGCAGGACGGACACCTGGTCCTTGAAGAGGACAGGGTCGAGGCGCAGCTGGGAGGACACCAGGGGCATGTAGCCAAACCAGTCGGCCAACTGGTTGAGGCAGTCCTGCCGCTGGGAGAAGCGCCGGGGGCTCCTCTGCCCGGGTTGGGGGGTCCCCGCAGCCCCATCGCCGCACCCCGCCTGCTGGGCCACCCCCTCCTTGTGCTGCTTGCGCTGGGTCACCTTGATGGGTGGCAGCTTGGTGACAGCGGCCACCAGGACGTTCATCAGGATGTCCTCGCAGGCGGCCAGCCCATCCACCAGCTCCCGCAGCCCCGCGGGCAGGTACTCGGTGAAGAGGCTGTGGTAGTACCTGGGGGAGAACGGGGTGAGGGGCAGCATGGGCGAATCCCCGGTCCCCGCAGCCCCCCGGCCCCCGCAGCCCCCCGGTACCTGTGGTAGAAGGCGGCGGCGGTGAGGACCATGGAGAGCTCGTTGGTCCATTTGGAGGTGCAGCCCCAGCGCCCCTGCTCGGGGTCCCAGAAGTGGCTCCGCGTGGGGAAGCCCACGATGCGCTCGGGGAAGCTGCGCCACACCGAGAAGGCAAAATCCACCTGGCACGGGACGGGCACGGCCTCAGCCACCGCGGTGCCACCCACGGCGGGGACCTGGAGCACGCGGGGACGTGGGGACAGCGCTGTGCTGAGCACCGAGCCTCGCAGGGGGCCGGGGCCGTGGGCTCACCTCGCTGGTGGAGAGGTTGGTGTCCTCGTCCAGGCTCAGCACCGCGTCCGTCTGGATGGCCCCGAAGGGGAAGAAGCGGTCGCTGAGCTGTGGAGGGAGGAAGGGCAGGTTGGTGCGGTGGGGTGTCTGTTCCAGCCCCCTCCCGTGTCCCTGATCCCGTGTCCCTGGTCCCCTCCCGTGTCCCTGATCCCTGCCCATGTCCCTGGTCCCTGCCCATGTCCCTGGTCCCCTCCCGTGTCCCTGGTCCCCTCCTCTCTCCCTGATCCCTGCCCGTTTTCCTGGTCCCTGCCCGTTTTCCTGGTCCCCTCCCGTGTCCCTGATCCCTGCCCATGTCCCTGGTCCCTTCTCGTGTCTCTGCCCATGTCCCTGGTCCCCTCCCGTGTCCCTGATCCCCTCCCGTGTCCCTGGTCCCCTCCCGTGTCTCTGCCCATGTCCCTGGTCCCCCCCTGTGTCCCTGGTCCCCTCCCGTGTCCCTGGTCCCCTCCCGTGTCTCTGCCCATGTCCCTGATCCCGTGTCCCTGGTCCCCTCCCGTGTCCCTGATCCCTCCCATGTCCCTGGTCCCTGCCCATGTCCCTGATCCCTGCCCATGTCCCTGGTCCCCTCCTCACCCCCCTCCTGCCCTGGATGACGCTCAGGGGCACGCTGCTCTGGGGCCATTTCCAGCTCGGGGGTGGCGGCTTCTCGCAGCTCCACAGGACCACGATCTGAAGGGGGAGGAGAGGTGCGGCCGGAGGGGTTCGGTGAGTTCTCTGTTCCAAACCGTCTCACGGCAGTTGGGACCAGGATAAACCCCCAGTGGTGTCACCTCCGCCCCAGAGCGGTGCATCCCCTCCACCCTCAAACCCACGCGTGGCCTCCCCACCCCGCAGGACCCATCCCCACCATCCCGCGGGGTCCCTGCGAGCTGCAGACGGGACTCAGCTCCCACCTTGGCGCAGTGCTGGGATCCAGACACAGCTTGGATGAGCCTGAGGATGGGCTGCGACAGCGACCCTGCCTGCGACGCCGCCCGGATGAACGCCGTGAACTTCTCGGAGGGGCTGTAGCCTGAAGAAAAGGTGGGGAAGGGAAAGGAGAGGTGTTGGGCACAGCCCGAGTGTGCCGCGCTCGGCCGGGGCAGGCGGGATCCTACCGAGGCGCAGGTGGTAGAAGGGAAAATCCCCGAGGTGGGTGGAGAAGTCGGGCAGGACCAGGAGCCCCCCGGGCAGCGCGTTCCAGAGGAAGCGGGAGCGGGAGCGGTGCGGAGACAGCCGGTCCTTGATGATCTGCCAGAGGCACAGCGATGCTCCCAAATGCCACCCCGGCAGCTGGGGAAGGGGGTTTGGGGTGGGGGGCTCACCTCCAGCGTGGTGTGCACGATCTTGTCCACGGAGGAGAAGTAGGCATCCCACAGGAACTGGGTCTGCTGCTGGAAGGCCAGCACACGCTCCGGGGGGATGCAGCGCAGGGCAGAGGGGATCTGGGCCGGGGAGCAGCGGGGTCCTCACCTCAGCCTCCCCCCGCCCGGGCTTCTGTCCCCTCCAGCTGTCCCAGCCACCCACGGGTGTGCCACCCTCCTCCTGTGGGGCTGCACTTCCTCTCCCTGGGGCAGGGTTGGGCCCAGGATTCCCAAGGGTTTGTGCCCAAGAAGATCTTTCCCACCTTCGCCTCGAGATGAGCAACGCCCCGGGACTGCAGCAGGAGCGGGACCCCCATTCCAGGCTGGGTCAGACCCTCCACAGGAGCACTGCCAGGCTCACCCCCAGGCTCACCCCCGGGCTTGGCTGGGGGCTCCACCACCACTGCCTCTGGGATTGGGGGTCTGGTGGCTCTGGGATCTGGGACTGGGGGTCTGGTGGCTCTGGGATTTGGGGTCTGGTGGCTCTGGGATTGGGGGTCTGGTGGCTCTGGGATTTGGGATTGGGGGTCTGGTGGCTCTGGGATCTGGGACTGGGAGTCTGGTGGCTCTGGGATCTGGGATTGGGGGTCTGGTGGCTCTGGGATCTGGGACTGGGGGTCTGGTGGCTCTGGGATTGGGGGTCTGGTGGCTCTGGGACTGGGGGTCTGGTGGCTCTGGGATCTGAGATTGGGAGTCTGGTGGCTGTGGGATCTGGGATTGGGGGTCTGGTGGCTCTGGGATTGGGGGTCTGGTGGCTCTGGGATTGGGGGTCTGGTGGCTCTGGGATCTGGGATTGGGGCTCTGTTGGTTCTGGGATCTGGGATTGGGGGTCTGGTGGCTCTGGGGTCTGGGATTGGGGGTCTGGTGGCTCTGGGATCTGGGACTGGGGGTCTAGTGTCTCTGGGATTGGGGCTCTGGTGCCCGGCGTGGGGCAGGATCTGGAGCCGGTACCTGCAGCAGGAGCCTCTCGCTGCCCACCACAGCAGCTTTGCCCCAGTCGATGGCCTCGGCGAAGGGCAGCTCCCAGCCATCACTCAGCAGCACCGGGATGCAGGCGGCCTGTGGAGGGACCCCGCAGGCTGGGACAGAGCCCCCGGGCCCCGGTGAAGGGATCCCCCATCCCCCTGGCCACCCTGTACCTGCAGAGCCTCCAGGAAGCGGAAGGAGCCCAAGCGCCTGCCCCGGGGCACGATGCAGAAGGTGGAGTTGTGCAGCAGCTCCTGGTAGTCAAACCTGGCGTGGGAGATGGGGAGGGGGTCAGGCATGGCCCACTCCCCTCCTGTGGGCATCCAGCGGGTGCTGCTGGCACCTGCCAGGTGTGGAGCCAACCCAGGGCAGTGTCAGAGTCGGTTTGGACTGATTTTGCCTCTGAACATCCCTGGATGTGTGGGAGCAGAGATCTCCTGGGTGCTGAAGGGATGGATTTGGGCATCCCTTAAAGAGGGGGGCGGTCAGGAAGGGACCCCAGTGCCCTTTGAAGGCAGGACCCAGCTCTTCCCACCCTCCAGCAATGACGCTTGACACAAAGCCACCAGCCAAACCCCCGAGCCCGAAACTGCGGCGGCTCCCGTGCCGTGCCCGGGCTTGCTGGGCAGGACCGGCCCTGCCTGCCCTGGCAGCGTTCGGGGGGGGGCACTGGGTGCCGTGGGGCTCTCAAAGCCCCTTCTGTGCCACGGTGGGAGAGGCTCGGCCGCTGCCCGGTCCCTGCGGCCGCGCCGGAAAATCCAATATTGACTTTAGGTCGGGACAGACCCCGTCTGTTCCTGCCCGCGGGGAGGGGCAGCCGGTCCCGGACGGGCTGGGGGGGACTGGTGTGGTCCAGCCGGGTGCTGGGAGGCCAAAAAGAGCCCGTGCAGTGTGTCGGTGCCAGCAGGAGGGGTGTCCCCGCGGTGGGAACGCGGTGCTGGTGCCAGGCTGGGAGTTGGGGCTGTGTCACCCCCGTGGGTGCCGGAGCACTCTGGCACGTCCCAGCGCTCCGGGATGTGGGAAATCAGCCCCGATGCCAAGGCACAGAGTTTCACAATAAAATCTGCCTCTGGATGAACCTCCCCAATGTCTCCAAAGGATGCCAAAATCCCGTTAACGCTCAAACTCCCGGCTGGGCGAGCGGAGGGGTGACAGCGCCAGACCCCCCACAGCAGCGACAGCCACATCCCAGGGACCAGACCCGGCTGTCACCTCTCCTCGGGGACCCCGAACCCTGCCGGGGCGGGTTGGGCAGCGGGACCGGGGACCGGCGGCCGGTGCGGCGGGGCGGCTGGCGCCGGTCGGCCCGCGGGGCCGGAGGCTCCCGGTGGAAATTCTCCGCTCCCGAGGCACTGCGGTTTCCGGGCAATCGCCGTCAGGGCTTCCTTGTTTTGTCAGGAGCCGGGACGGGCGCCCGCCGCGCTCCCTTCACCGGGGCCCCTCCGTGGCTCCGGCCGGGCACGGTGCCACCGGCACCGCGGAGCCTTCCCCAGCCCGCGCTGACTGCCCCGAACGCGGGGCAGCGGGGCCACAAGCCGCCCTTTATCCCAGAACAGACCCGGATTGTCTGGGGCAGCCCCTCGGCCGTGAGGAGGAGGATGGAACACCCAGCAGAGCCTTCCTCTGCTCCCCGGGGTGCCGGTGCCGTGCCAGCACCCAACACGCCGTGGGAACGGGGCCGCCGGGGTCTCGCTCTGTGCCCTCCCCGCCGTCCTGGGCCCTGCCCGATGTGGGAACATCTCCCCGGGCAGGAGGTGGGGCAGAGCTGGCCCGGGTGGTGACACCGATGGTTTTGTGCCACAGGGAGCAGCAGGGTGGCAGAGGCTGGGGGGGTCACACACGAGCAGCTGCCGCGTGTTCCCCACGGATCCGCCAGTCCTGGGAGAGGTGTAAATCTCCCTGTGTTTGCAAACAGCCTTAGGGGATTACCTGGCTGGGCGATGGGGGGAATTCTCCTCCCGCTGCCCCTTGGCACGGCGTGGGGCTGACCTTGGGCCCCCTGTCCTGCCAAGCCCATCCCAAAGAGACTTTGCCACGAGTGCTGACCCTGCTGGGCTGGTGGCACCCTCCGGACAGGGCCATGTGGTGCCTGACCCATCCCAAAGCCCCGGCTAATCCCAGTGCCAGCACCCCAGCTCCACTTTTACCTCCCAGCACCTCCTAAGACGCTTTGAGGATGATGCCCAACGTGGCCTCTCCCCATCTGCTCTCCAGCTGAGTGGCTGGGGGATGTCCCCAGGCAGTGGGATGGGGACCTGCCTGTTGTCTGTGGGATGGGCTCTGTGTTTACCAGCCCTGGATTCAGCAGCTGGTGATGGGTCCCAAGCAGTCGGATGGGGAGCTGAGGAGCTGGCATGTGTCTCTACAGGATGGAACCCCCAAACTCACAGAACTTTGTACCCTCAATTTTTCCACCAGTGTGTCCATCCCACGCTGCTGCCACTGTGTCCATTTGTGATGGGGGATGCAGGGGGACCCCCACCCACCACCACCAGTTAAGCTCGGGGCTGCCCACACTGGGATACCCACAGCCCCGCCAGTTTTGTGGGATTTTCAGTGGAGCCAGTGAGGGGGGGGATGTTTTGGGCTCATCTCCAAGAGAAACGTTTATGTTGGGGGAGAGCGGGAGGGGGGAGAAGAAAAGCGTCATTCATCAGCGTTGGGAAAAAGGGAAATCGTATTAGAGGCGGTGGCAGCGATTGCAGATAAGAGCCGCTCTCGCCAGATTACTCCAACTTTAATACAGAGCAGGAAAGCCCTGAGCAGTCAGCGCCTGCTCCCCACCCTGCAATGAAACCCTCATCCCCCTCAGGAGAACCCAAAACTTCCCTCTGCAGAGCTCCAGGTGCCATGCATGGTCCCGGCTGCACCCCGCAGAGAGGCAGGAACATTTGTGGGGTGTCCCATCACCCCAGACCCCCCATTCCCCCATCTCTGACTCACCTTTCATAGTCGACGTTGTCCTTGTCACAGCGCGTGTCCTTGTGCTTCTCCCAGTCCTTGCCGTGCTTGCAGGTGGTGAGGGAGATGATGTCCTTCCCGTTGTGGATGTGGTGCAGCGCGTTCCGCGTGCCGGAGCCGATGCCGGTCAGGTACCGCTTCCCCTTGAACACCAGCAGGTATTTCTTTTTGGGGGGCAGCGAGTCGTGGCGCAGCCACCCCCCGTCCCCACCGCGCTGCGGGTGCTCCCTGGGGAACAGGGGGATGGAGATGTCGAAGCCAGGCCTGAAGCTGCTCGTGTCGAAGCTGGCTTTGGCCAGCATGGCCTGGCCGCTGTCGAAGCCCAGGTCACCGGTGTAGCCGGGCCATGTGCCCGAGTAGAGGTTGAAGATGAGGTGGTTGCGGCCGCCGTTCCAGAGCGGAAATCCGCGGATTTTCTCACCCACGTCCCGCACGTAGTGGCCCGAGAGGTGGTCGCGGTCCAGCGTGTCGATGCTGAGGATGAACAGACAGGCTTCCTCGGGCTTCAGGGTGTGGTAGCGGGAGCGCTCGATGGAGCTGAGGATTTTGCTGTAGGTCTCTGACACGGGCTGGCCCCGCTCCTGGGGGTAGGTGAACACTTTGAAGCCGTGCCTCTCACACCTGGAGAGGTCGAAGCAGGTTTCCATCCGGCATCTGCTGCCCCTGGAGCCGCTCAGCCACGCCACCCGCCGCTCCCGGGGGGACAGCAGGGATGGGTCCCCATCCCTCTGCAGCTCCTCGGGCTCTGCAAAGCTTTTGAGGAGGGAGCGATCCGTCCAGCGGGGCCAGCTCCTCCGGGCTTCTGCTTTCCTCCCCGAAAAGAAAGCGAAACGACGCAGCTGATCCCCTCCGAAGAAGAAAAGCAGGAGCCAAGAGGCAAGGAAAGTCAGGAAAATGTATTTCTTCCTGGTCTGCATAGGTTCACATGCAGCCCCAGCTCCTCATCGGGCTCAGGTGGGTGCCAGAGTCCGGCCAGAGGCCGATGTCCCCAACCCCGAGCGGGTGGTGGGACGGCTCCTGGTACTGTCCTGTGTCCTTGCGGTCTGTGACAATCCCACTTTCCGCCCGCTCTGCCCAGGGCTGCGCTGGTTTCTCAGGACCGTCCCGGTGTCCCAGCCGCTCACTTCTCCGGGCCCCCGAGCCGCGACAATGACATTTCCATCGCTTGACCCAGCTTCAAATCCCTGGAGAGAGGGAGAGGTCGCGTCGTCACCGTCCTGTCGCCGCCAAGCGTGTCACCACAAGTGGCTCCACACATCCCTGCGGCGGGACTCCCCTCCCCAGCTCCCTTGGGAATAAAACTCTGGGAATAAAGCCTCCCGCAGCCGCCGGACCCCCTCTCTGCCCTGCCCCTGCCCTGCCCGGTGCCCCCGTTACCTCCGGGGACTCGCGGCCCCGGGTGGCTGTCGGGCCGCCGTGTCCTGGAGCACCGATCGCCGCCTGCCCGCGGCTCCGGGCTGCATCCCCGGCCGGGGAAGGCGGCGGAGCGGCCGCCGAGCGGCCCCGCCGGGCTCCCGGTGCGCGGCCGGGCGGAGGAGCCGCTCCCGGGGCTGGGGCGCTGGGCGTGTGCGCCCCCCTTGTCACCTTGTCCGTCTGTCCCTGCGCTGGGCTCTCTGTCCCCGTGTCCCCCCGGTGCCTGTCCAAGATCCCGGCTGCTCTCCGCTGTCCTGCTGTCCCTCCCGGGACTGGTGTCCCTTGTCCGTCTGTCTGTCCCGTCCGGGGCTAACCGCCCCGCTGTCCCCTGCCCGCTTCGGAGCTGGCTATCCCCTGTCCGTCTGTCCCCCCGGGACTGCGTGTCCCCTGTCCCCTCCCAGATCTGGCTGTCCCTCGTCCGTCCGTGTATCTGTCCCGCCCAGGGCTGGCTGTCCCCCGTTCTCTCCGGGAGCTGGCTGCGCGCTGTCCGCCGCTCAGTCCCGGCGGGGCTGGCTGTGCCCCTGCCGGTGTGGCTGTCCCCGTGTCCGTGTCCGTGTCCGTGTCCGTGTCCGTGTCCGTGTCCGTGTCCGGCCGGTCCCGGTCCCCCCCGCGCCCCACGTGCCCCCCCCGCCCGCATCTGCCACACGGCGCCCGGCCCCGCCCCCGGCCTCCCATTGGCTGTCCTCCCACGGATGGGCGTGTCCCTGACATTGGCCACGCCCACAGGGATCTCGGGGGGGCCGGGGCTGAGCAGGGACCGACCCCGACCCCTGTCCCCGTGTCCCCATGGACCCCTGTCCCCGTGTCCCCGTGTCCCCCTGTCCCTGTGTCCCCATGGACCCCTGTCCCCGTGTCCCCATGGACCCCTGTCCCTCTGTCCCTGTGTCCCCGTGTCCCCCTGTCCCCATGGACCCCTGTCCCCGTGTCCCCATGGACCCCTGTCCCCGTGTCCCCGTGTCCCCATGGACCCCTGTCCCCGTGTCCCCATGGACCCCTGTCCCTCTGTCCCTGTGTCCCCATGGACCCCTGTCCCCTGTGTCCCCCTGTCCCCGTGTCCCCGTGTCCCCCTGTCCCCGTGTCCCCATGGACCCCTGTCCCTCTGTCCCTGTGTCCCCATGGACCCCTGTCCCTCTGTCTCTGTGTCCCCGTGTCCCCCTGTCCCTGTGTCCCTGTGTCCCTGTGTCCCCCTGTCCCCATGGACACCTGTCCCTCTGTCTCTGTGTCCCCATGGACCCCTGTCCCCGTGTCCCCATGGACCCCTGTCCCTCTGTCCCTGTTTCCCTGTGTCCCCGTGTCCCACTGTCCCTGTGTCCCCATGGACCACTGTCCCCGTGTCCCCTGTCCCCGTGTCCCCTGTCCCCATGGACCCCTGTCCCCGTGTCCCCTGTCCCCATGGACCCCTGTTACAATGGACCCCTGTCCCCCTGTCCCCATGGACCCCGTGTCCCCATGTACCCCTGTCCCCATGGACTCATGTCCCTGTGTCCCCGTGTCCCCCTGTCTCCATGGACCCCTGCCCCCAAGGACCCCTGTCCCCACGTCCACCCGTCCTCGTGTCCCCCTGTCCCTGTGTCCCCCCGTGTCCCGGGGGCAGCGATGGGGTCCCAGCCCAGCTCAGAGTGGGGTGTCAGGAGCAGGAGCCAAGCAGGAACGTGGCCCGAGTTAATCCCATGACGGACGGTCCCTGCGGTCACCGTGGGCCCGGTGTGGGGGTCCCCACAGAACCAGGACCGCGGGGTACCCCCGTGAACCCCCCAGCGCCCTGGGCTCAGCCTGAAGCAAGAGCTGTCCCCAAACAAACAAACAGCCGAGTTGTCGCTGTCACCTCCACCCAGGGCCCTCTCCCAGGGTGGCTTTGCCGGGGTAATTTGGGGGTTCTGGGGGGGCTGACCCCATTCCCCGAGCCGGGCGGAGCAGCACGGACAGGTCGGGGCTCGTCTCTCCCACCCCGTCCCGGCATCCGCGGCCACGGCAGCCGCCCTCGCCCTGCCCCGCCGGCCGGGCAAGCCGGGACCGGAGCGCTGGATCCCGGCCACGGGTGTGACAGCCCGGCCGGTCCCCCGCCCGCGGCTCATCGATGGCCGAGAGCACGGGCTGTGCTCCCCGCTGCTGCCCCAGCCCCGGGGGACACAGACAGTGGCGATCCCGGGGCTCTGTCCCGTGCCCAGAGCGTGCCTCAGTTTCCCCATCACCCAGGGCAGCCTGGAGTGGGGCTGCGAGTGTGGGAGCTCGGTAAAAACGGTTCCCACCAAATCTTTGGGTGTTTATTTGCCAGCCCGGCTGGCTCGGCCCCGCAGGGAATTAATCCCCGGCCGCAGAGGGGATTACTGGGGACCGGGGGCTGCTTTAGCTCCAGAAAGAGGATTAAGCAAAGGACGGGGAACGTGGGGATGGGCAGCGGGAGCCCCAGAGCATTGCTGGCCTCTGGGGGGGACAAGGGGACAGTCCTGGGGACGGGAACTCGGCTGGGTCCTGTCCTGGTGGCACTGGGAGCTGTGGTTTTGTGGTTGGGGTCCTGTCCTGGTGTCACTGGGAGCTGTGGTTTTGTGGTTGGTGTCCTGTCCTGGTGGCACTGGGAGCTGTGGTTTTTTGGTAGTGACACCGGGAGTGTGTCCTGTACTGGTGGCACTGGGAGCTCAGGTTTTGTGGTTGGTGTCCTGTACTGGTGTCACTGGGAGCTCTGGTTTTGTTCTGGTGACATCGGGAGCTGTGTCCTGTACTGGTGGCACTGGGAGCTGTGTCCTGTACTGGTGTCACTGGGAAATGTGGTTTTGTGGTTGGTGTCCTGTACTGGTGTCACTGGGAGCTCTGGTTTTGTTCTGGTGACACTGGGAGCTGTGTCCTGTCCTGGTGGCACTGGGAACTGTGGTTTTGTGGTTGGTGTCCTGTACTGGTGGCACTGGGAGCTGACGCCCACGAGCACGGGAGGCACTGGGAGCCGTAGGGCAGCGTTCACTGGGACGTGCTGGGAGCTGTGACCCGCTGTACTGGTGTGTGCGGGCAGGGGGATACTGGGAGGCACTGGGCAGCTGCTGCTGGGAGCTGGGAGGGCACAGAGGGAACTTTGGGGCTGGGAGAGCTCTGGAAGCTCGGGCGAGGCACTGGAGCTGCAGAGGGGCTCGGGGTGGGGACACTGGGAGCGTTTGGGGAGCACTGGGAGCGTTTGGGCTGGAACTGGGAGGCACTGGGAGCTGCGGGGAGCACTGGGAACTGGGAGCTGGGGGTCAGCGGGAACTGGGGGACAACTGGGAGCTGCGATGGGGACTGGGAGCGCTGGGGGGAGCGCTGGGAGCTGCAGGGACGGCTCCGGGCACTGGGAAGCGCTGGGATCTGTAGTCCTGCTGCGCGTACTGGGAGCTGTAGTGCGGGCTCCCAGCGCATACTGGGAGGTGTGGTCCCGGGCCGGGGCCATACTGGGAGGTGTAGTCCGGCCTCCCAGCGCATACTGGGAGGTGTGGTCCGGGCTCCCAGCACATACTGGGAGGTGTGGTCCCGGGCCAGGATCATACTGGGAGCTGTAGTCCGGGCTCCCAGCGCATACTGGGAGGTGTGGTCCCGGGCCGGGGCCATACTGGGAGGTGTAGTCCAGCCTCCCAGCGCATACTGGGAGGTGTGGTCCCGGGCCGGGCCATACTGGGAGGTGCGGTCCGGGCTCCCAGCTCATACTGGGAGGTGCGGTCCGGGCTCCCAGCGCATACTGGGAGGTGCGGTCCGGGCTCCCAGCGCATACTGGGAGGTGCGGTCCGGGCTCCCAGCGCATACTGGGAGGTGCGGTCCGGGCTCCCAGCGCATACTGGGAGGTGCGGTCCGGGCTCCCAGCGCATACTGGGAGGTGCGGTCCGGGCTCCCAGCGCATACTGGGAGGTGCGGTCCCGGGCCGGGGCCATACTGGGAGGTGTAGTGCGGGCTCCCAGCGCATACTGGGAGGTGTGGTCCGGGCCGGGACCATACTGGGAGGTGCGGTCCGGGCTCCCAGCACATACTGGGAGGTGTAGTCCGGGCTCCCAGCGCATACTGGGAGGTGTGGTCCGGGAATGCGAGGGCAGGGCTGGAACTGGGGGTCGCTGGGGCTGCTGCCGGGCTCTGGGCAGTGGGAGAGGGGTGGGGAAAGGAGCAGGGAGCGGGTTGGGGTCCCTGGGGTGGGAGACAGGCTCGGCTGCGGCACCGGGTGGGCTGCACGGATGTCACGGTGGGTGGCAGGTACGGGGATGGGCACAGGGATAAGGATGGGCACAGGGATAAGGATGGGCACAGGGATAAGGATGGGCACAGGGACATGCTCCAGGTGGCTGCAGCCAGCTGCTTTTGGACGTGGCCACCATCCTCTGTGCTGTGTCCCTTCCTTGTCTCCCTCAGCGGCTCTTCCTCCGCCTCTTCTACCCGTGCCTGCCCCGGCCTTCCAGATATGATTTTTTTTTCAGTGTTTTGCACCTAAAGCAGCGTTTCTAGCCCGCGGCGTGGTGGCCCGCGGGGACAGGGCCGTGCTGGGGTGGCTGGGGGACAT